CCGATGGTCTTAGGCTCTACAGCAGCAGTTCTCAACCTGTGGGTCGCATTTACGATTCATTAACAGTAGCAAAATTACAGTTATGAAGTAGCAATGAAAATAATTTTATGGTTGGGGTCACCACAGCATGAGGAACTGTATTAAAGGGTCGTGGCATTAGAAAGGCTGAGAACCACTGCTCTATGGCTAGTGTCCAGGGCTCCCATTTTCAACTTAGGTAGATGCTTCCCGGACAACCCTGCAGACACTGTCTTAAAATCACTTATAATAATTCTCTGAATAGTTACACCACTAACTTAATATATAATTAAGTTTTAGATTGATTTACATTTTTAAGGATTGCGTAGAGTGTTTTAAAAAGACCTTAATAAATATTTAATTATGAAACATTTCAGATATATGTGAAAAGAATTATTTAGAAATAGAGCTAAGAGAACTATATTCTTCCAAGTATTTAATAAGATTGTCAAAGCTTTTTCAGTATAGCTTTGACAGTGAGATGGAAAATGTACTGTTAGGATAGAGTCCACCAAACAGGAGGATTTCATTACATGGGAAGAGGGCTTAATTTAATCTCTCTGCTTTTTTCCTCTAAAGAGCAATGAAATTAAATCAGAGAAATGACCTCTCTTAATCAGCTCATTAAAGTTGTGTTGAGGCTACCTCTGAACAGTCGTTTCCAAACTGGGTTTTAGGCCAGAAAGGACTTTACTTTGGTGGTAAGTTTTCCCTCTTGCGTATTTTTCTTTGTAACCCAGAGACCTGCTTTTTGGGCATGCCAGGAAGCAATAGTTTATAGTTTTAAGTCTCAAAGTAGTTTTGGTCTCTTGAACAAGTAATGAAAAAGTTACTTATTGGAAGGATTGTCAGTAACTGCATCATTATCATCATACTTTTTTGTTGTTAATACTTGTCCAAGTGTATTTTTCCATTGATTTTTAGGGAGAGTGGAAGAGAAAGGGAAAGACAGAAACATCAATGTGAGAGAAGCACTTTGATTGGTTGTCTCCTGCATGAGCCCTGACCAGGGCCCGGGCCAGGGAGGACCCTGCAACCAAGCTACATGCCCTTGACTGGAATCGAACCTGGGACCCTTTGTTGGTCCTCAGGCCAAAACTCTATCCACTGAGCCAAACCTGCTAGGACAGTGGTCAGCAAACTCATTAGTCAACATAGCCAAATATCAACAGTACAACGATTGAAATTTCTTTTGAGAGCCAAAAACTGACTTCTGTGAAGTTTCAATCGCACTGTATGTGCGCACCTGCAGGTGGTATTTTGTGGAAGAACCACACTCAAGGAGCCAAAGGGCCGCATGTGGCTCATGAGTCACAGTTTGCTGACCACTGGGCTAGGGAATCCTCATTGTACTTTAAATCTTTTTCTAGATTCAGACATTTGATGATAAAGTCTAATTTTTAAAAAATATATATTTTACTGATTTTTTACTGAGAGGAAAGGAGAGGGATAGAGAGCAGAAACATCGATGAGAGAGAAACATCTATCAGCTGCCTCCTGCACACCCCCCACTGGGGATGTGCCCACAACCAAGGTACATGTCCTTGAGTGGAATCAAACCTGGGACCTTTCAGTCTGCAGGCCAACGCTCTATCCACTGAGCCAAACCGGTTTTGGCAATAAAGTCCAATTTTAATGCTTTGTATCTGTTGTACTGTTTCTGTTGGCAGACTTGGTAGTTGCAGGAAATTTTTGAAAACCTGTTTGCATGTAGGTTCGTAATTAAGAGCTATAGTGGTGTGACATTAACCTTTCTTGTTTATGGACCACTCTTTCTGTTGGACTGATATTCTGGCCTGGTTACCTTTGTAACTTTGTATTAAGAACATTGAAACGTACCAAAGTAGACGGGACCATATAATGATCCCTATATCCTTCTCCAGGAGGAGGAATGGTGAATGAAGTCCCATATCTCTGCCCAATGTACTACTATGAGGAAAATTCTAGACATTGTCTTATTTCCCCAGTAAATATTTCAACATGCAGTTCTATAAGCCAGGGTCTCTTATTATTAAACATAATCATAATATCATTGTAACATCTAAGGAAATACAGTAATTCTTTAATATTAATACCATCAAATATTTTATCAGTATTATTTCCCCGATTGTTGTTTTAATCAAAGCCAAAGTTTGGCCATTGGGAATCTTGTGTTGTCTTTCATGTGAGAAAAAAAAAACAGGCTGCTTGTCTAGTAATTGTCCACTTTGCAGAACTCTGCTTATGTTTACTGTAAGTTTGTAACAAGTTCATATCCTGGCTTCTGTTGTTTGTTTTGTAAGACTATTGTCTGTCTGCTGTGTTGCTGTTTCCATCAGCAGGATGTGATTTCTGACTGCCTGAAAAAATATAGGATACACACACACACAGACACACAAACACACACACACACACACACACACACACACGCACACACACGCACACACACACACTAGAGGCCCGGTACATGAAATTCGTGCCCGGGGTTGTGTGTCCCTCAGCTCAGCCTATACCCTCTCTAAACTGGAACCCCTCACGGGCAGTTGGACATCCCTCTCACAATCCAGGACAGCTGGCTTCCAACTGCTCACCTGCCTGCCTTCATGATTGCCCCTAATTGCTTCTGCCTGCCAGCCTGATCACCCCCTAACCACTCCCCTGCCAGTCTTATTAATGCTTAACTGCTCCCCTGCCAGCCTGATTGTCCCTAACTGCCCTCCCCTGCAGGCCTGGTCACCCCTACCTGCCCTTCTCTGCAGGCCTGGTTCCCCCCAACTGCCCTCCCCTGCAGGCCTGGGTCCCCTCCAACTGTCCTTCCCTGCAGGTCTGGTTGCCCCCAACTTACCTCCTTTGCTGGCGTGGTCACCCCTAACTGCCCTCCCCTGCTGGTTTGATCGCCCATAACTGCTCTCCCTTTCAGGCCTGGTCCCTCCCAATTGCCCTCCTCTGCTGGCCATCTTGTGTCAACATGGGGGTAGTCATCTTTGACCACATAGGGGCAACCATCTTGAGTGTTGGAATGATGGTTAATTTGAATATTACTATTTTATTAGATAGGATTCTCCCCCCCCCCCCTCTCTCTTTCTCTCTCTCTCTCAGCCCAGTGCACAAAATTAGTGCACAGGGAGGAAGGGTCCCTTCAGCCTAACCTGCACCCTCTCCAATTCAGAACATCCCTCTCACAATCTTAGACCACTGGCTCCTAACCACTCACCTGCCTGCCTGCCTGATCGCTCCTAAACACCTCTGCCTCTGGTCTGATTGTCCCTCACTGCCCCCCCTGCCAGCCTGGTCACCCCAAAATGGTCCCCTGCCACCCTGATTGCCCCCAACTGCCCCCTCCCCCCAGCTGTCCTGCTGCTTGGTTGTTTGGTCACCCCCTCACTAACCCTCCTGCCGGCCTGGTCACCCCACACGGCCTGTTCAGTCGTCCGTTTAGTTGCAGTGGTCATTTAGGCTTTTATATAGATAAATTTATCTTCTAGTTGTGTTCCCCCTATTCTCTTTTTGGCTATCATATATCATGTTTAACCATACATTTTTTTGAGAATTTTAAAAGTGTAGAAGTTAATAGTGATGAAAATCATCTATAGGACTACCTTCTGTGACTTATCAGTCTGGATACCAATTTATGTCTTTATTTTCTGGATGCCACAGTTTTGTGATAATTGATCTAGGTCTCTATTACAATTTAATGTATCTGTCCTTTATCTTACATTTTGAAAAACACTGACCTCTTGAAACAGATTTAACATGTTTCAAGAATTTCTTCTTTATTTTATTTTTAAAAAATATATTTTATTGATTTTTTACAGAGAAGAGGAGAGAGGGATAGAGAGCTAGAAATGTTGATGAGAAAGAAACATCGGCCAGCTGCCTACTGCACATCCCCTACCAGTGATGTGCCTGCAACCAATGTACATGCCTTTGACCGGAATCGAACCTGGGACCTTTCAGTCCGCAGACCGACGCTCTACCACTGAGCCAAACTGGTTTCGGCCAAGCATTTCTTCTTTATAAGTAGTTGCCTTTATATATCTATCTTACAGCATTTAAGGGATTTTGTACCTTTATGATTGATTATGCACAATGATAATTAGATGAGACCATCTTTGATCATCAGATTATTTCATTAACAAGTGTTTTGAGCATTAACCATAAATAGGTTATTGAGAATAAGGAGCATCATTATAGAAACTAATAAGCTCCATGGTTATCCAGGAGACAAAATAGTTAGCTTTTAGATTTCTTTATCAAGCACTCAGAAGAGTCTGAAAAGATACATGGGTTAAATCAAGGTCTTTATCTTGTTGTAAAGCAGAGTAGCCTGGAATCAGACCTGTGTGTCCAGGAATCTTGGGTCTGACACCTAAATTAGGAAGGCCTAAAAACCACCATTCCTTTAAAACCAAAGTTACTTTGTAAGATATGGGAAAATCAGGAGGTGTTATGTGTAAAGTTGAGCCAGTACTTTATAGCAGAGGCCCCTTTACACTATGTTTCAGAGTGTGAAGGGGTTCCTTTTAACCAATTATTGTTTATTTCTCCTGACAACTGGTCCTAGAAGAAAGGAAATTAATGGGGCTGGTCAAAAACGATATATATAAATTGGGGAGTCATCAAATTCCAAGTTGGAGTTCTATTAATTTTGTAATTTTCTATTTTAAAAATAACAGTTCTGGGCATGAGTGGGTTTATATGTTTTGACACAGTTTCTAACTCTTAAAACATCATGGTCACCAAATTATTGTGAAGAAGAAACTTATTTTTAAAAAACCAAGTTATTTCTTGAGTAAGTAAGGTGTAAATTATGGACAGGTTTCTCTAAACTATTTGAACTCCAGAGGGATAAATATATCCTGGAAAACTTAGAATCAGTTATAAAGTAGAATCAGTTATACCCTGTACTTCATTCAAGTTACCAATTTACTGTCTTTGTCATTTTACAGCATCCTACAGTTAACATTAAACTTCTCCCGGTGGAGCCACAAAGTAAACAGCTCATGACTTCTGATCAGGACGCTAAGGTTGTGGCTGAACCGCAGGGCCAGCGAGTCCAGGAAGGGAAAGACAGCGATCATCTGGTGAGTACATGCCTGAGGCTGGCATGGGCCTGTGTATCTCCTTTTCTTCTGATAACAGATTTTTACATGCAATAAATTTATAGGTAACTTAGTAGAGGAAAGTTAAGTACTAGGAGATAGAGAAAACAAATGGCAACTAGTAGCTAGATATTAAAGCCTTAGATTTTAACTTTGTTAAAAAAATTATTGATCTTAAGAGAGAAAGAAATATCAATTTGTTGTTCCACTTATTTATGCATTCATTGGTTGATTCTTATGTGTCCTGACTAAGGATGGAACCTACAACCTTGACATTATCAGGAGGACACTCTAACCAACTGAGCTACCTGGCCAGGCCAAAGCCTTGGATATGAAATCACCAAGAAAACATAGTGATTTATAAATACTTTTATAGCATTATAGCCATTGCAGTGGTATGTAGTTAAAGAATTAATTAGAATTATAACAAATTTTTTAGTTTGACTACATTCATTAATTGTAAGATTTGATCATGTCAAGCAGTAATATTTAAAGTTTCTGAATGGCTTTGGGAAAAGTTTTTGTTTTGTTTTTTACTTTTCCCTATTGAAACTACTTTAGTAGGATTTTACTTTATGTACAGTCAGAATTTCAACATTTAAAATTTTAAGGCTTCTATATTGCTCTGAATATCTCCCTGAATTTCCTTTGTCACATAAAAATGTACTTTTCTCATGGGCTTTGTTGTGTTCGATTACTGTGGTTTGAAAATATGTTTTTTCACATTGTAGTGATGGTATGTTTGATGTTATCATTTTGCAGATGAATGGTCCCATATCTCAAACCACTTCTCAGACAAGCTCCATCCCAGCTTTGAGTCAGGTAATTTAGTCCTGAGATATATCACATTGGAGGCTCACAGATATTGCCTTATAACAAATATTTATTGTAAACTAATTAAAAAATGTTGATGTTTCTCAATTGCATAGCGGGGACCCAGTGCCTTGTGTATTAATTTGATGTCTTATATTCATTAAGAGTTTAAAGGGTCATCTATTATGTGTATGTTAGATTCATACATGGGTGGGAGGTCCCTCAGCCCAGCCTGCACCCTCTAATCGGACATCCCTTTTGCAATCTGAGACTACTGGCTCCTAACTGCTCGCCTGCCTGCCTGATCGCCCCTAACTGTCCTCCCCTGCTGGCTTGATCTTGCCTCCAACAGCCCTCCATTGTATGTTTTTGCCTCCTTTGTCAAATATTAATCCATATATATATATCTAATATTGCAAAATGTTCCCTTGGGAGTTGGACCCAGAGTTTGATCACTATGACGTGCTCTGACCACCAGGGGCCAATGCAAATGAAGGAAGACCCTGGTGGACAGCCAGGGAAAGAAGGCCCTGATCAGCCCTGATCATTGGCCAGGCCTAGCAACCATACCCATGCACAAATTTTGATTTATTAAAAACAAAACAAAACAAAAACTTCCATCATTTTGACATATGTACACATGTTTTATGTTTTTTATTATTTATTTGCTACAAGAAAAGGTCAGGAATTGTTACCTCTCTTTTAAATTTTTTTTACTGTTTTACTTCATTACTGCTGTGTATGTGCTCCCTGTAAGTGACATAGGTACTTATGTAGCTGGTTCCTACTTATGGTGAAAATTGCGTTATGTTGATCCATAGGAAGGGATCTCCAATGTAACCCGAGGACCGACTGTATTCTGTTTCATTGATATCTTCCTCCCTCCATGTACCCCCCTCTTCCTCCCTCCCTCTCTCTATTTCTCTCTCCCTCTCTGTCTGTCTGTCTCTCTCTCTCTCTCTTTTTGGTTAATATTCACCCCAAGATATTTTCCCATTGATTTTTTTTTTTTTTTAGAGAGAGTGAAAGGGAGGGGGAGTGACAGAGAGAGAGAGAGAGAGAGAGAGAGAGAGAGAGAGAGAGAGAGAGAGAGAGAAATATCAATGTAAGAGAGACGCATCAATTGATTGCCTTTTGCATGTGCCTGGTCCGATATACATACCCTTAACTGGAATCAAACTCAGGATCTTTTATTCTGCAAACTAATGCTCTATCCACTGAGCCAAATTGGCTAAGGCTCTATATGTCTCTTTTTATGCCAGTACAATGCTGTTTAGATTACTATGATCTTTTAGTATAGTTTGATATTAGGTAGTGTGAGTCCTCCAACTTAATTCTTTCTCAAGATCACTGTTGCTATTCAGTGTCTTTTGTGGTTCCATAGAAATTTTTAAAACATTTGTTCTAGTTCTGTGACTAAGTGAAATAAACCAGTTAGAGAAAGATAAGTACCATATGATTTCACTCATATGTGGAATTAATGAACAAACTGAACTACCAAGCAGAGAGAAACTAATAGAAAGCAGGCAGACAGATCTATTGGGGTGGTGGGTGGTTGAGGGGTTGAGGGGAAAAAAAAAAAAAAGCATGGACATAGTCAACATTGTGGTGATAGTGGAGCATGGAGGGGTGTGGAAGGGTAGCTGGAGGTGGAAAAGGGAATAGAGGGGATAAATGGTAATGGGAAAAATTAGTTCACATTTTAGCTATGATTAATGAAAGAGTATGGAAATGGACAGCTATTGGTTTTTAAATCCTGCTTTATACCATTTGGGTCTGCATATATCGGTGCATTTGGAGCTATTCCAGATTTAGCTTGTTAATCTTGTATGTGATCTTATAAATCTTACACAAAATTAAAAAAGTGAATCTTTTTTAAAAGTAAAATTTAAAAGTAATCGCACAAAATTTATGGTAAACTTTCTAACATTCCCCGCATATAAGCAGTTCATGTAAGAAATTAGAGGGGACTGAATTGTTTATCTTCTTTTAATAAGGAAGGCTTTTTTTTTTTTTTTAAGACCCTTCCAAACAATTATATTTCTTTTTTTAAATTGTATTTTACATTGATTTTTAAAAAATAAATTTTATTGCCCTGGCCCAGTGGGTCATTTGATTGGAATGTTGTCCCATAAACCAGAAGATTGTGGGTCTGATTCCCTGTCAGGGCACATATATCTGTGATTTGTGTTTGATACCTGGTCAGGGTATGTATAGGAGGCAACCGATCTACAGTATGATGTTTCTCTCATTGATGTGTTGCCCTCTTTCTCTCTGTCTCCCTCTCTCTGCCCTGCCCCCCCCCCCTTCCTCTCTCTCTAAAAATCAATAAAACATGTCCTCGGGCTACGACTTAATAAAAATGAAATTTAGAATAGCTTTAGTAACTTAAAATCCAAATGGTAGTCTAAGAGGGAAATAACAGAATCATTGAGAGTTTTAAAACAATAAAAAGAATTTTTTAAAAGAACAAATCTTCCTCTGGTTGATTTGCAGTCTAATATAATGTTCAAAATGTCTTTAAAACCTGTTGCTGGCTGAGAAACTAGCTTTTGGATTCTGAGGGGGGTTTTGGTCTGTTTTGTTTCTGTAAATTACTTTGTGGGTGAGAATTGAGTTAAGACCTATCTGAAAAAGAATTCAATATTTCATTTCTGTGGAGAAATAACTTGCAATTAGTACTACCTTCACATAATTTTTTTGCTATTTTTAAGTGTTAATGGCTGCCCTAACTGGTTTGGCTCAGTGTGTTGGCCTGCAGACAGAAGGTCCTGGGTTCAATTACAGTCAAGGGCATATGCCTGGGTTGCAGGGTCAATTCCTAGTAGGGGGCGTGCAGGAGGTAGCCAGTCAATGATTCTCTTCATTGATGTTTCTATCTCTTCCCTCGCCCTTCTTCTCTGAAGTCAATAAAAATGTACTTTTTTTTTTTTTTTTAAGAGTTAATGGCCTATAACAGAATATCATGTGGCTAGTTCTTTGTCTAGCCCTGCTACTCTGTACCCCTAGCATCCCTTGTGCAGATCACATCTCTGACACTGGATTTTGTAAATTGGGGATATACTATTTACCAGTTTTGCAGGGTGATGCACACTTCAGGTTTTCATAGAATCGTTAAATACTTGAGCTGGAACTTACCATAAGAGACCACCTTGACTCGCATGTGTGTCCTTTAAAATTTAATTTATATACTTAAGTATCTTCACAGAAAAAATAAATCTTATTAGAGACTACACCTATTTTTAAAGAACGGTACAATGAGAAGATACATATTTCACCTCACTTTTTCCCATATAGTATGAGTTCATCTATATATTCCCTTGTACTTGTCGTGCAGTGTTTTCTTTTAAAATTACTATACTTTATTTAAAGAAAAGAACCTTTTCTAAAAATATATTTTATTTTTTTACAGAGAGGAAGGGAGAGCGATAGAGAGTTAGTAACATCGATGAGAGAGAAACATTGATGAGTTGCCTCCTGCACACCCCCTACTGGGTATGCACCTGCAACCAAGGTACATGCCCTTGACCAGAATTGAACCTGGAACCCTTGAGTCCGCAGACCAATGCTCTATCCACTGACACTGAGCCAAACCGGTTAGGGTGGAAGGAACCTTTTTGTGGTTAATCCTCACCCAAGGATATTTTTCTCATTGATTTTTAGTATCCCCCCCCCCCCCCCCCGTGTTTTCTTTATGTCGATAAGCCATCATTTCTTTAGCCATTTGGGTTTTTTTGGGGGGGGCATTTGCATTGTTCATTTTTTCCCATCATTATCAGTGGCATTGCTCCAACCATTTTTTCTAACTGACACTGCTATGGCACACTAAGTGTGTAGACGTCTATCTTACTTGGTGTTGTGGCTCTGAGTGTTGATGGTCAATAGTCTGCAGTTATGATTGACAGTGGGTATGCTTAGCAGTTTGATTTAGGAACCATCTCTTTAAGGTTTAGTCTTCCCCCCCGTTGGACACAGTGTGAGTTAAAGGAGAATTGCCATAATGAGGACCAAATAAACATCTGACTAATTCAGGAGCAGATTTGCATTTATCCAGTCAAAATATCAATCATATTTGTCATACATCCCTCTGTTCTGTATCCCCCCAAATTTTTGAATAGTAGCTACAAGCCTAGCCAACCAGTGAGCACCAAAAAGTAATCCTATCTAGAGGAACTGAGACTTGGAGAGAATTAAATAACTTCCCTAAGAATACTCAACTACAGCATGGCAGAACCAGGGTTTGAAACCAGACATCCTGGCTTCAGAATTTAAACTCTCAAGATGAGATACTTCCTCATTGGCATCTGTTATTGCATTTAAAAGCAGAAACAAGTGGAAAATAGTATCAAAAAACAAAACAAAGCTCTTGTCAGCCATTTGGCAACTCCTTGCATCGTCTCTGAACAGATGAAATTAATTTGGAATAAACCTGGAGGATTTTAGGTGGCAAATAGTGTGACATATATGAATATTATTTTGATCTCATTATATTAACAGTGGATTTTAGTGAGTTAAGAATGCAAGCAAAGAAATCATATCAAAAAAGCTATTAAGCAATGAAGGTGAGAAATTATGGTGGCTTAGACTTGGAGTAAATGAATTGCAAATTTATTTTGGAGGTAGATTCAATCATACAACTCTATGGATTGGATGTTGTAGATGTTGGGGTGAGGGAAAGATAAATCAAGGATAGTTGAGCAATTGGTTTCATTTATTTTAGGGTGGAAAAAACTGGAGAAGGAAAGGTTTGTGGAGGGAAAAATCCACCTAGCAGAAATTCAAGTGAGCAGTGAAGTGGGCAGGTGGGGTTGGTTGGACCTCAGTAGAGAAGTTACAGCCTGAAATATAAATTTGAAATAAGTAGATGTTTTATTATATCTTATATATGGAAAAGACTATAAAAACTACTGTTTTGTATGTCTTGTTACTTTGTTTCATCTTTTCATCCCTTCTACAAGGACACTTCAAAAATATGTATTTACTTCTTTAAATAAAGCTCTAACATGCAC